GCATTTTGTTATACGTATTTCTCAGTTTGACACAGTATATCAACCACAAGTCAGAGAAAGTTGAAATACAAAGCAAAAGAAGAACAGTGCCTAATGAAAAGTGGAGAGCACATAAATAGGTAAGAGCTGTGGTATGAGTGTGGCAGAATAGAGCCATCATCACCCCTTGGAAACTCCAGTCATCTTCAGAGATTCAAAAGAGGAAGAATATTGAAAAGGCAAAGACATATGTTGTAGACACGAAAAATAGGCTGGAATAAAAATTTTGAGGAAACTCTTAGAAGTGGAATCATATTATTTTAATGGTGTAGCCCATGAGAAAATTCTTCAGATTGTGGGCTTATAACAGCTATTACCTTAAAACAATAATTTAAAGGAAGTTCCACAAGTGACCTACTGTTTTTCTCTATGGGAGCACAACTCCAGGATTATTCATAAAACTGAAAAAATTCAACTGTGATAAGTGATTGAGAAGCACATATAAATTAGTACAGTGTCATAGAGTAAAGGTTTTATCAGTATGAAGTAACATGTCTAACCACCTCTGTAAAATTAGTAACAATAACCTCTCTCAAGCTTTAAACAATTATATAAAAATAGTGTAGGTTAATGCTGGTGAGTCACATCGATACAGGCTGTAAAAACAATCCTCTACTTACAAATCTCAAACTTTCCACCCTAAAAAGTGTAGATAATGAAAAATATATTAATAAATTCAATTTAATTTTTTGATGAGCAATCTAATTCTTAATTCTAACCAATTACTGAGTCATGCAGAAGAAAGTATTGGTAAACTACAGAAGTTCTGATTCAGCGATGCATTAGATTAAGAGTCAGATTCGAAATTCAGTTTGTTCATATGGAGACACATGCACAAATCCTAACTTACTACTGAAATGAGACTAAACACTGCAGATCAGTTATAAATCACTTATCAATCTGATTAGTTACCCTTAGGTAATAGAGAAAGTCAAACCAGTGATTAGAAAGAAGCAGCCAGGTCCCACAAGAAATAAAAAGAACTAAAAAGTTTTCTTCAAGGGGAAAATATCCTTGCCAGGGAAGCGGAAGACCCAATACTATTATGGACCTCTGAACTCTTTCAGAATATTTTGTTGAGTTTACACATCTATAATATTTAAATGATGGAACTTAACAAAAAAAGGGTATATAGATGAATGTCCATTTTGTATCTGTGTATTCAAAGTGGTTAGGATAGATATATAGTTACATTCTCTTAAAAAAAAGAAAAAAATATTTTCTTGACTTTAATTTTATTGACAATATTCCTGGCAAACACTGGCACTGTGTTTCTTGGCAAATGAATGAACAGGAAGAACATGAGCATATCAAGTGAGCCTTTGAAAAAGCCTAAGGGAAACAATAATAAACATCTATTGAACATGTTAGAATTAAAGACTGGAGAAGACAGAGAAAGAATATGACATTTATATCAAATAATCCCATGAAAAATAAACAACAGGTCTGTTTCTATGGAATGATATCTAAAATAAGCATAAGTCAACAAATCTGATGAAGAACATGCTAGATGTAACTATCAAGAACATTAGGTAAACAAAAGAGGCTAACGGCTTCATGTAGGTAATTCACTTAGCTAATTTTAAATCCATCAAATTGGTCATTCTGAGAAATCTACTTATTAAAAATGAAAATGTAATTATATAAAGGGACTGAAATAAAAAGGATGAAATTGTATACATATATGTTCAAGATTTGAATAATATTCTAAAGAAATAAAGTGCTCAAGGTAGAAACAGACTGATTGGGTTGCAGATTTGTTGTATTTAAAATTTAAAAATGGATATTCACTGCACTTGAAAATTCTTTAATAAAACCAAATCTAGAGAACAATGTTCATGCAACCAATACAAGAATATTGGTATAAATTTTTTATTTCATTAGATACGATATTGGGTAGTAGATTTTTACTTTATCACTTTTCGGCAGGGAGAAAATCAGTACCTCTATTGGAGTCTATTCACTATTTGGTACAAACCAGCATCCATTTCTATCTAAATAGATTAGTTATAGAGAAATGTATTCTTCAATGTTGTGTTCTTGAAGCTAGAGAAAAACCATCTCTGTCCATATTCACCTATGTGGAGAGGAAAAAGAGGAAATAGGTATGGCACTTCTCTAAATAATCCTTTGAAAATGTAAATAAAATCAGGATATCTTATTGTATGCCATAAAAGTATAATTAATATTGAAGAATTTAATGAGGAATTAAAGAAGAAAACCTAATGAAAGTTTTTATTTTGCTTAAATAAAGGGAAATGAGTCCCAATTGATAGAGGTGAAGAACAGAAACAGAAAATCATCCTGTACCGGGAGCTGTAACACTCTGGCAACAGCTCCTTTCATACTCTCTCACACAACTTAGGGACCAAAAATGAACCACTATTAGGAATACTGTCAATAAAATTAAAGTCAAGAAAATATTTTTTTCTTTTTTTTTTAAGAGAATGTAACTATATATCTATCCTAACCACTTTGAATACACAGATACAAAATGGACATTCATCTATACACCCTTTTTTTTGTTAAATTCCATCATTTAAATATTATAGGTGTGTAAACTCAACAAAATATTCTGAAAGAGTTCAGAGGTCCATAATAGTATTGGGTCTTCCGCTTCACTGGCAATGTCAGAAATTGTTGACCTGAGTCCCCTACAGCTCAACATAACAGCATGGCTTTACTTCTTATATTTCGCTTTTATACTTTTCTGCTGGATGGTTAAGACCAAGGCAAAGCAAGACCTATGCCACAAGAGTTGTAGCTTTTGGGTCTGATAAGGTCAGTGAAATGCCCTCAGGATTTATCCTGAGATCCTGTACCTCAGATTGTAGAACCTTTATCAGTGTCAGCCGTGTGGATGAGTCACGGCCATTGCTTGGCCAATGTGCTCTCTGTGAAAACCTTAGCGAATGTTTTCTCTCCATGTGACTCTCTTTAGGCACACTTTACATCATCAATCATTTTCCTCTTTGACTCCATAATTTTTTTCATTTTTGAAAAAGTAATTTTTATTATTCTTTCTTGAGACAGGGTCTCATTTTATAACCCAGGCTGGTCTCAAACTTGTAATCCCCCTGCCTCATCCTGAGGGCTGAGATTACTAGGATGCACAATCATGCCTGACTTTTGAAATTCTGGAAAAAAAATTAAAAGTTAAGATTTATCTAAAAATTAAGATACACACTGAATTTTTGTGTTTATGTAAGTCATTATTTTTCTTGCACATTCATTGAAATCATTTTCTAGGAAATAATTATCTAAGGTATATCCAGTAGAACTGTTGCACAGTGTGGCCCATAGGACAATAACTTCCAAGGGCTAGTCCTTATATAAATGAAAGTCCACAATAAATACATCTAAATATTTTGCTCCACTCTAATTTGACATGGTAAACACAAACATGAATCTTACTTAAAAAAGAAACTCCTGAGGAAACAAAGGCACAGAAAACTTTATCAAGGCAACTTGAGTAAAAAACTACTATTGTCTTGGACCAGCCAAATAGCTCAGTGGAGTAAAGCACTTGCAGGCAGGTGCAAGGGCCAGGGCTTCAATCCCCAGGCCTGCTCTGCTGGGGCTTGCTGAGACAGCAATTGAGACTGGGCATGGTGGTGCAAGCCTGTAATCCCAGCTCTTGGAAGGCTGTAAACAGGTGAATCACTATGAGTCCCATCTAGTGGTAAGACTCTGAATACCCTGTAGACCCTTCCCCCCCAAAAAAAATTTTTTTAAAAACCCTATTATTCTCCTGTGAGTGACACCAAGTTGACCATTCCAAGCACCAAGATTATCACACTTCCTGTTTCACTCAGATTACAGCCCAAATGGAGTTCTGGAAGAAATTTCTAGTAGATGACCTTGAAAAGGAAATAAGCTACTGGCAATCCACCCACTTAACTGAACTTGAGTTCCTTGATAGTCATTAAGGGCTGAGGTGTTATCAGGGAGTTAGCAAACCCAATCTTTCGTGAATTCCAGGTTTATTTAGGACATTATTTTTCTTGCATACTCCTTGACATCTGCAAATGGAATCCTGACTAGAGCTTTTTAACCCCTCCCTTTTAAAGCTTGGGGAGCATCATGTTTTACTCTGATGTTAATTCTAAGCTGTCCCACTCAATGTAACAAAGACATTTGGCAATCATCCCATGCATGCAGTAGCTTGTGATGAACAAAGTAGCTCCAACTTACCCTAGAAAATGTCAAATCCTGAGCACCCAGATAAAAGTATACCACTCTAGGGTATGTTATTCTTCAATTTCCTGTTATAATTGGTGAATCATAATACACAGCCACTGGGTATAATTCCAAAAATCAAGCTGTATGGTTAAAAGTTTCTAAATTCATGAGTCAACAAGCCATACTCTGCATGTAGCAGAGATATATGGGGAAGCTGAACTATTTCTGGTTCATGGCAGGGGTGGATTTTTCATGGCCTCTACTTTTTAAAGCATTTACTCTCATTCTATTTTATTTTATTTATTTATTTGTTTGTTTGTTTTTTGTGGAACCGAGGATTGAACTCAGGCCTTCGTGCTTGCCAGGGAAGTGCTTATTCCACTAAGCCATCTCCCCGGCCCTCTCATTCTAAAATGTTATGCAATACACAAAGCCATCCATTTATTCCAGAATATATCACCTTAATGAGGATAAAAAGTTTTCACATGTACATACTGCCAATATGTTTTTAAAGGCCCAAAATTTAACAAATAGGATAGACAAATTCATTGATCAAGACATCATAAATTACTTTGGCAAAACAAAATCTTCAAAAACAATCTGGCTCAACATTCTGCTTGCAGGTTTCTACACATACTGTGTATGTGGCATGTATGTGTATGTTTAGAGTGCTGCTTTTTAAATAAAAGGAATGGAGTATGGTCTAGTCCACTTTCCCATAGTTATGTGGGAAAGAACTATAATGTTCTTTGCTACAAAAAAAGAAGTGCAAAGTGTACATTGGCACCAACTCGATTCGAAGCCTCAAGAGCTTCCTGCAAAGTAAAGCTAGCCCAAAGAATCTGGTCAATATCTGTGGTACAAAACACTAAGGGTGGCAGGAGGGAAGGGCTTGATGGTGGATGGCTGCTCAGCAGTTCCAGCTCAAGAAATGGCCTTGCAGGGCCAGAACAGGCATTTTCTCTGATTTTGGGCCTGTCTATTAATGAATTCTGTATACCACGACTCAAGTCTTTAATCAGTATGAAACTAGATGGAAAAGATTCAGTGTGCTCAGAAATCTGATTGAGAGCATCCTCTTCACTGGCTAGGAGACTGGGTAAAATTTCTCCACCCAAGGTGCAGTGTAAATGATTTGATGACTTAGCTGAGGTAACAGTGACAGAACTGCTCTCACTTACTGACTCTAGATTTGGGGACACCTTACTTGTCAGCTGACAGGCTACCACCTGGAACTTGGATGCTAGCATTTTCCATATTTTCTGTTCCAGTGCCAGATGCAGCGCTTAAGTTTTCTGTCTTCACTGATACACATCTGGCCTGATGGCAGGAGACTTGTGGACATGGATCTCTGTGAGGCAAATAATCATTTTGAGTCCACTGTTCTGAAAGGCCTTGAACACCCATTTGGCCCTCAGCTATTGTTTCTGACTGACAGATAACTTCACATGTATTTGTTGAAGGAGACTTCCTACTACTGATCAAAAGTTGATGAAGTCCTTTCAAAGCTGCTGCTACAGACAAACGAGATTCTTTGGTTGAATCCACAGAGGGCTGACAATTGCCGCAGAGATTTAGAGAGGGTAGGTTTCTGGCACATTCATTACTTGTTCCAGACATTTCAATATTACTTTCTGGGGGTTGTAAAGCCTGAGGGGAAGTAGAATTATTCACACTTTGAGGTGAAGGATTACATTTTGATGTTTCTACTTCCATTAAGAGATTATCTGAAGGGAGACTGGATACACCAGTGTTCTTGACATTGGCATTCTGCCTGCCTGCTGGATTAACCATGGTGGCTAGGGTCTGTTACCCAAATCTACTTCATGAGCATTTCTGAACTCAAGCAACCAAAGCATCCTGAAGGTAAAAAGCTTTTCTCTGTGTTTGGGAGATCCGTGTTCTGCTGGAGCCCATCTCCTCTGACCAGAGTTTCCAAATCAAAGCCTTTTTGTTGATCCTGTTGCTCTTCTTTAGGAAATGGAAGGTCCCCCAGGTCACAAAGATGCTCGTGGTCATGTGCGCCATCCTGCTGGACCTCCTGCTGTTTATTCCCTGGTTCTGGGTGCTGCTGAAGGCCACTGAGTTGATGCAGGTTCTGATTTTCTGAGTGCCAACCCTGTTTGTCCATAAACATCAGTGGCATATGCCTGCTAGTGGTTCTGACAGATAAACAAGTTTCCTGTCTTACATGGAGATAAAGTTTGAGGCCCTGGGTACTTCTCTCAGTACATTTTTCCAGATTATCTCTAATGACTGCTTCTTCAGATAAATTATGCAAAGGCATCACTGACTGCTGGTCTGCTGAGAAAACATGATCAGAAAGTTCCTGTAGAACTTTCAGTTCATCTGTAATTCAGATGAAACCTTCAAAGCTTCCACAGCTTCTGGTTAAGTGCTGTCTGGGTCACTGGGCTTGAAAGGGCAGACTGAGGCAGAGGCAGAGCAAGCAAGACTTGGAGGATCGCCCACCTCAGGACCTGGTCCTGAAGAATGGGCTGAGTGGGTAAGTCCATCTGAAGTTGGTAATGATGACATTCCCAATGAGGTAGATTCTTTTCTGCTTTTCTTTGGTCTGGGGCCCACTCCAGCTACAGTACACACACACTGCATGGCATCATGGCTTCTGACATGCTGCATCCCCTGCTGATTTCTGAAAGGTTTGGGCCAATTCTCAGTCTGCAGTCTCCTCTGGCTGCATGTCCTCTTGCCCAGTGCCATATGCCAGGCAGGCCCACTCTGGCAGCTCTCCTTCAGGAAGGAAGGTTATCTTCGAGCCTGTGGTGCTGATCACCAGGACATATTTCTGGAGACCAATGGAACACTGGTGTCATCTCAGCATGTTCAGTCCCATATGCATGTCCGTGGACTGCTCCTCAAGAATAGACAAGGAGCATGCCAGGAAGTCGCCTTCCATCTGAACCTGAGCTAGGTGCACCCATCCAATGATCTTCTAGGTGCCCTTCCCTTGGCGATCCCTGTCCGCTATCGGTCCATCAGGCTCGTATTTCATCTTTCTGCACTGGTTTGACTCATAATTGTCAGTCACAGGTGTTGACTCAAAGCACCTGAGTCAGCAAGGCTTTTACAGGATGTCCATTCACTTTGCAGTTAATATAAAGCATCACCACTTGGCCAGAGCTTTCAGGAGTCTCTCCCATTCCTATTGTCATGTTCTCTTCGCTGTTCTGTTGCCTGATGTCCTTGTCTATCTTTGCCTGAGCTTCAAGATCAAAGGGGTCAGCAGAAAAGAGATGGATTCTTTTCTGATCTCTCCGGATTTGGTCCTGCTGTTGCTCTACCAGGACTCTGGAAAATCTCTCAAGGTCTCCACTGAGCAGGCCTTCTGCCAGGGGCGGGTTGTGTTCCTTCACCAAAGACAGCTTATGTGGGTTGGGCATCAACTTGTCTCAGAGCAGGGCTGGGTTGTCTATCCCCTGAGGAGAGGACACTATTTCTCCAGGAGATGAGTTGGGCTGCAACTTGCTCGCTGCTGGGCGCTGGTGGGGACTGAACTGGCCAGACACAGCTATGCTGCTGAAGTCTGTCCACGGTATGTTTGGGAACAGCATGGCAGCTCGAGTGTCTGCATTGTCCTTCTGTTGTAAAATCACCACGTCCCCATTTTTCAAGTACGAAGAAGCTAGTGATCTGTGGTTGTCTGTGAAAAGTCTTTGGGCACAGACAAGCTGGCTCTGGGCTGCCGGGAGACCGGACACAAGCTTACACAATGCCTGGAAGTTGTGTGACTCAAAGTCGGCGTCGAACTGCAGGCAAAAGGTCACCTCGGAGAGGTCCGTCTGCATAGAGTACAGGGTGAGCATCACGGCCCAGACCTGACCCAGCTGGGCTCAGAAGAACCTGGCCTGGGCGCTGTGGGAGAGCCAGTGTGGCCTGGTAGGGGCTGCGAAGGAATGGCAGGGACTGCCTGCTAGCTCCTTCCCTCCCTAACACAAACTAGGTGACTCACTGCGTCCTGCCCTTGCCAGCATGGCGGACAGCAGCCACCTGCCCTGAGTCACTCTGCCTGTTTGTCAGCCTGCCTCACACCACTGTGGCCAAGCACACTGGCCAGCCAGAAAAAGGAAAGAAAATATTGTGTGTTTGCACCAGCATTTCTTTCCTTTATTCTGGAGTTTAGCCTATAGAATAGAACAGGAGAAAAAAAATCAGAGGAAAGAACAGGATGACTATGTCATAGAGTATAAAGTTGTTCACTTCAGAAACCTCAGATAATTATGGAAAGAAGTTGTGTTTCACAAAAGGTAAAGTGGCAGGCCTTCTGGCAAAAGCATATGTGCATAGAAATGGGCAAAAACATACAGAAAACTTACAAAGAATCATCAAATTCCATCAAGTGAGTTAGAACCATTAATAATATTGTACATGGATTAGTAATGTAGTCTCCAAATGTTTTTTCAAAGTTCACACTACTCTTATTAAAAAGTGAAAGATTTTTTTATGGCAGTGTCAAAAACTAATTTAGAGGTTTTTCTGAAAGATGGTAAAATCACTGAACTTAGAGAAAGTAATTCAGAATAAGAGGAAAATGACTTGAAGGAAAATTAGTCCTTGTATATTTATATCTATTTTTTTAAATCTGGGAAAGAAACGTACTGATTTTCATACAACAATTACCAGAACAGAAGAAGAATGACCTGTGTTTGCTCCAATTTATATTTACAAGAATGTATGTTTGAATAATCGCTTGCCTGACAAGCTCAAGGGCCTGAGTTCAATCCCTGGCACTGCCAAAAGAATATATGTTTGTAAAAGTTGCTATTACTAAACAACTTTTGTAAAAGTATTTTTTTTGGAAAAATTATTTTTGTAAAGTTATTGAAAGTCAGTTGATCCATTTTAAATTATTTTAAATTATTTTCTGAATGATAAGTACAAGTCACCTGAAAGGTAACTGGAAGATAAAAGTGACAACATATTCATCTTTAAAGAAAAGTGAGAGGGCAGACCAAATAGCTCAGTGGATTAAAGCACCTGTAAGCAAGCAGAGAAGCCAGGGGTTAGATCAAAGGGCCTGCAGACCTGCCCCGTCCCTGGGGTGCACTGAGATGGAAAAGGGGTTTGGGCGTGGTGGCGGGAGTCTGTAAACAGAGGGATCACTATGAGTCAGATCTAGCATTGAGACCCTGAACACTCTGTAGACCCTTCCTTTAATGCAAAAATGAAAAACAAATTAAACAATAAATAAAATTAAAAAGTGAATATTAAAGTCTGAAGAATAACAAATGTGCTGAAGTGGAAACAAGACCAGGCAGCAGCACCTAGCACTCCTAGATGTGCTGTTGTGCATACAGAAGAATGACTGAGATATTACTGATGTGTACAGAATGTATATAAAGTGTTTTAATCAGGATAGACACATAAGGTTCCTATTGTAATACATGTAGAAGTTACTATGTTTTTCTCTTCAAGAATGTACAAAATATTATGAAGATTACTTTCTGATTATTGGGAATATTGCATTTATGCATAGATGGACCACTTCCTTCTTTAAAACATTAAAATTGTTTTTTCAAAAGAGTATTGTTGTAAAAATAAATTAATTTTCACTCAGTACAGAATTTTCTTTTCCCTAAGTACTCCTTATATTCAAGTCCAGCAGAAATTTAAAGTGCTCAGTTTTCTCTCTTACTACATAAGGGTTTGGGCATAAAAACCTCCCGAAGTCTCGAATATATTCTTTTCAGTCAGAGAAAGTGTGTACAGGACAGGGCTCTGGAAAAACCAAATGCCATTGCAGACTCATTCCTGGAGAGCATGAGCCTGGACAACTGAGAAAAAGGACCAAGATGCACCTTTCCTCATTACATGGGAGGAGAAACAAACTTTTTCTACTGAACCTTTAAAATATACTTGTAATCTGATAACACTTGATATGTGACTAGCTGCCTATCTCTTCCTGCCTCCAGGTAATGTCTGAGCACACTTGGCTTTTCTCTGCTCGAATCTTTCCAGGCTGATTTATCCAGAATCATCATGACCCTTGTGTTGTCTCATGGTAATGTCACATCCCGACCTTTCAACTCACTCTTTGGCTGATAATTTCTGTCATCCGATTTAGTCATCAACACCCACCTCCAGTTTTCTTCTGTGATGTAAAACCTCATAGCAATGATCAGTATCCTGATAGTTATTCAAGAATTTTTTTATGGGTTTTTTTCTTTTTTCAGTACCAGGGATGGGACTCAGGAACTTGCACTTGCCAGGCAAGCACTTATTCTACAGAGCCATCCCCCTGGCTCTATTCAAGGATTTGATAGCAAGCTTTCTTATCATTTTCAGCAAGTCCCAATGATAATTATCTCTGTAAACATGTTTAGGACATTCAGATCAGATAACCCAGACTCATTCACAAAATAATCTGCAAATGTGTCTCACGCTAGTAAAAATGACAAGCACCAACCAACAAAAGTTTTTATATTGAACAAATAGGTTAATGTTATCAAATGTAGTATGCAAAATTACAGTGGAAAATACAAGGAGTGGTGACACATGACTTTATTCACAGCTAAATGCGAGGCTGAGTCAAAGATAATTGCTTGATTTTAGGATATTGTTGTGAACCTTGGAGATATAACAAAGCCTTGTTTATAAAGTGTAAACATCAAAACTATATATAAGAATGAGAATTATAAGCAAACATACCTGACATGAAAAATGAGAAGTGCAGACAAATGATTTGTACCAGGAAGATGCCCCAATTCCTGTGTGTGCCATCCCTGCTTCTGAAGTGGGTATTCACTAAAGGAAACAATTGAGGCTCCACCCATTGATCAAACACAAGTGCAATCATTATTTCAATGACATTCTCTTTTCTCATAGAAGCAAAAATCATCTCCTGGAACCTGTGCACCACTGGAAAGTCCTATTAATTATTGCTTTGGCTAGAGTACTGGAGTAATAATCTCTGAAATCAGAGAATTGTCATTTGAGATAGAACCAAACTAAAGGATAACTTTTTTACAGGATATTGCTTCCTTATTCCTGACCCAATTTGCAACTGCAGAGTTCATGGATCTCTCCTGACATGAAATCATGATATACAGATTACTTGAAAGTGTGATTGTATATCCATAGTAAGAAGCTGCCCAAAGAGATGTGGCACAAATAAGTGGATATAAAAATCATATTCATAGTCAAGGAAATATTATCAATACTTGGTCTTTTCAACACAGATAATTTACTTAAACATCGTACTGTTGAATTCAGACCAATGATCTTGACTGAATGTCCACTGAGTAGCCCTTCCTGTCATGCATGGGCAGGTGAAGTGTAAGGAGGTGCATGTCTAGCATTAGAAGATAGACCAGTATGTGTTTCCTGTTCTAAGGGTGAAAAGAGGAGGCTAAAAGAATGAAAAAGAATTTTATTTTTCCATTTCAAATTATAAAGAAAGAGGACAGCAAACGACAAGAATTTTGGAGAGTTTTGTGCAAGAATGAAGGGGAACTGTAGGATACAGACACAGAGAGTATTGATCTGTCACACACAGATCACAAAGAATGATCAATTTTGATGATCAAACATAAGGTGAATAAATAAAGCAAACTTACTGTTCGACAATTAAGTCTTTGCTAGACTTCATGTCAGTGGCTCC